ATCACATGTCTGTCTGAAGGCCACACTTAGAAGTACGGCATCCCGTCTTCTATCGGATATCGCGTCTGGTTTTCGCGACTGGTTGTCATACTGGTCTACGTGAAAATCAACGGTAGGGATAGGAGTGAGTGGGGTTGGAATGTGTTTGTGTGTGTGTGTGGGGGGGGGGAGTGATTAACTGATAAACAGTACCAGTGGCTAGATATTCCTCGTGTGCTGTACTTGTTGCTATACTCGTTCAGATGTTTCCAACACCAATCGACACCCCTTCGGTACTGCCCATCAAAATGAACTTTTGGCTTTTGTGCTCCTACAGGTGACAAGGCCGCTAGCTTCATCTCATGAGCTCATGCGACAGTTGGAAACTCGAGAACCCGTAGATTCTGGTGTGACGAGCTACGAGAAAGCTGTTTCTTGGGGTTCGGCGGCAAAGTAAAGGTTAATGGTTTGCACAAAACTGGAAATTTTGCGTTCAAGCAATCGCTTTCCTGTTGGGTGTAGGGGAACGAAAGTTCACATGGATGATGCAGAAAGAGGTGAACACCAAAACTATTCCCGAATGATAACAACTAAAAATGATGCAGCGATGTTGGCCCCAGAGAGTAACAACAACAAAACTGTGATAGGGACAAAGTGGGAGATAATTTGCCACATTATCGTTTCTGGTAAAACAAATTGCTATTGATAATTTAGCTGTCGATTCGTATCCCTGTTCTAACTATATCTCCTCATATTTTTGACCCGTGCTTGCAAGAGGAGAGACACTGGACCTGGGAACGGATGATGCTGTCTCTAGAGCTGGGGGGCTGGAATTGAAATAATTTCAACTGAGGAAGTCTACCGACTGCAACTGCCTACTAATGAATTTCTGCACAACTGCGAAACCACAGCACCACACAAAACCTGTCTGGCATTGCAAGTGAAATCCCCGGTCATTCTAGACTTTCTGCTTTCTTAGTCAACGCTGGCAAGATGTTTTGTGCTATCGGAAGATGATCCTTGGAGGTCAGTGCTAAGATGAGCCAAAGTTAGTTTGTTCCAAAGAACTCCTGCAGCCCGATTGAAGTTTGTTGTCCGTAAACATTTGGAACATACCTCGGGGTAACCAGGTGGTTAGTAAACTTGTGTTCCGAGTTCGATTCTCAGTTGGGTCGATGCATCTTCTCCGGGAAATGAAAGATAAACAGAATTAAAGCTGAGCTGCACAATGCCTGCTAGCTTGGCACTTCAAGTTTTTGTTGCTCTGTTTGGCAGAGATTTAAGTTCTTTGGCAAATTTAAGCCATCAATAGTGCCCTCTTCTTGAGTTTTCACTACCAAAAGTCAGTCATTTGACCTAGTACAGACGAGACAAGCTATTTGATTCAAACCTATGCGGAATTTGTTTCTAATGTGCTCGACCAACCCAACGCTTTGAATAACTATTTGATGTGAATAAAGTGAATAAATTGCTACAATAAGGGTTAGCCTAATTATGTGGCAAAAATACTGAGCACCAAAAGGTCATCTCGATCAACCAAATTATCGCCGTGTAGTCTCTTTTAGGCCCCTCGACTTTGACTCGAATCTATACCAACGTGCGATTCAATGAATAGAAATGCATTTTCGAACAAAGAGCAATGTGACAGTCGGCGGAACGAATGGAAATGCATTCTTATTTCGATTTGCCTATACTTTTCCTCATCCTTTGATCTATTGCTCCACAATTTTTTAATTATTTTAAGCAACTGTCCAAAAAACAATGAGAAATTAATTCACCTTAGGTCATGTCACCCAAGGACACAGTAAGCAGTTCAATGACGAGTTGCTCGCAGTCCCCTCAAGTTTCTAAGCGGATTGCATATGCGATCCGAAGGTAAACCGAGAGAGACGGAATGCATCGTACATGGGCGTCTGTCAATCGCCGGTCAGTGATTCTCCCATATGCCGGAAAGTACCGATTTCCCAAAGGACACCACGCACACATTTCTACCTTTATGCATCGAGGACAGACGCCGAGATCAAACGAAGTCCACATGTGTATAGCCATCAGAACAGATGTACCTACCGCTAAACACAGTCGTAGTTTCGTTTTAAGGACGGGGTATTTCGGGCGATTAGGGAATCATTTTCAAAGATCGTATCTTAGAGCGCACACTTGCACACATGCACACAGACAACCCAATTTGACATATGTTACATCTGTTTTGATCTTACTCACAATTGACTGACGGATCTGGGAACACGTTGATCCTCTATTCGTCGTTTTTGTTCGTTCTTTCTGCAGTTCAAAAAATCATGATAATGATAATGATGATGATGATGATGACTCGGATGATGATGATGATGGTGATGATGATGATGATGATGATGGTGATGATAATGACTCGGATGATGATGATGATGATGATTTGGATGATGATGGTGTTACTCCATAGCTTGTTTGTAGGTCACAACGAGAATTGGTTCCCGTTTGCTGCTTCTAGCTTTTTGGTTGAATAATTTTCCGTTACTGTCGTGATCCTAGCCTCTGAGACAACGCCAGCCAGGGGAATACGCGTACTGTTGCTAGACCACGAACTACAAGATAATGGTGACCACCAATCAGAAACCTTGTGGCTTGAACAGGGGCTGTGGGACGTAGAGTATACAAGCGGGCTATTGGCGAAGTCTTGTTCAACGAATAATGTTTCTGGGTACATATTTTTATTATGACTATCATTATTATATCACCACAGTTGCATTGTTGGCTATATATATATGCTGAGTAAAGTTTTCGAGTGGCCAAATTAAAATTTGCAAGTTAGATGAACAAGTTTTCTGATGGAAATGTTATTGTATCTAAAGCCTTAATTTTGTAGTTTATCAGGTCCAATCATCAGCACCCGATTGGAAATGTTATGCACCCGATTGCTTTTCAATAAGGTAGAGACAAGTCACTCAAATCAGGAAATTGACGATAGGCGTTGGAGAGTAGATTATCGATTGAGCTAACACATCGATGCTGCCTACCCTAATGACACGAGCAATTTCTACCAGCTTGGTCTAATAAACACACCACATGTCGTGCAATGCGTCCGTTTGGTGTACAATTAATGACAAAATGCGAACAGCTTCCTTGTTGTACCAAGCCCGCATTAGTTATCCGGGTTATTTGCCGCTGTCCACAGTCTGGAGAATTCAAATTATCCCATGACTAATGTTTGTAAACCTGTTTACTCAAGGTCTCATGTATTTCAATCAGGGATTGCTTCAATCGCGCCGTTCTTCCAGGATAGCAAAGTATCTTTGTGTAATCCATCGAAGGTCAACCAATTTATTCCAATTTCGTTCAAAACAAGCAAAAAATTATGTCCAGTTTAAGTGATCGATTATTTAATCAACGAGAAGGTTCACTGTGGGATCGGTCTAATCAAAAGGACAACCCATTACTAACTTAGGAGACAAGCTTGGGTAATTGGCAAATAAAATATTCTGGTAATCTCGTAAAGTGCAATCATCACAGACAGATTAGAGGTTTTCCTACCGAAACACAAATCTGGTACGCATCGGTGATTGGTTCGAATAAGAAAAATACACATGTGCTTGAAATAAATATCCTTTAAAATATATAAAAGATGGGGGAGAGGAGGCGGACAAATAGACTCCCCCACAAGTGAAACCATACGCAGACAAAAATCAGTGAATTTTGCACTGGATTTAAGAAAAACATCAATAGTGACTTTTCCAACGTATCTGTATTCGTCTAGTAAATTGATCAGCACGGAGGCGAATGAAGCAGTCCACGAATACAGTATTTGATTCATTGGGAGAAATTTAAATGAATAAACGGTTTTAGTACAGAAGCAGCATTGGTTCTCACTACATTATCCGATCAGTGTTGGTATTAGCATTGATATAGTATCACGTCTGACGTGACCTCATTGGTTTCGGTTACAAGTTTCCCGTTGGCTATCCGGAATCAGTATCGGGTGACCTCTTAGCTGGCACGATCTTGCAGACAGAAGGAGAGTGATAAAATATGGTAGGGGAACAGGCGAAGACAATAAATTTGATGGACCAACTTAAAAATACAAACAGTCCTGAGTCTAAAATCCTTCGAAAGTGCTCTTAGGCCAAAACCATGAACAAGGAAAATACTGGAGAATATTCTAAAGGAGAACCGCTGTGGCTGTGTAGTTCTGTGAAGTGGTGGAAGAGGTTTATAATAGAAATACGTATACACTACAAAAAACGTATTTCGATGATTCCTTAGCTTAAAAACTCTTGAGGATCTTTGATTCATCAAGTGGCATCGATTTGCTCGGAAGGCATGTGATCAACAAGTACGGAAAGATAGGTTTTGTTACCGAATGCACCACAATGACCGATGATGAGATCAAATCAGTATGACGCATGATGTATTTTACGTCAAAGGTATCGGTGATAGCACAGTTCATTGTTATCCTGCGCAGTATCACGCCTTTCCAACTCGGGCCTGACGTGGTAGTTCTCCACTCCAAGTTCCACGACTGGGGCTGCCAGTTTCTCGAAAATAATTCATGACAGATTTGCACACTACTTAGTGTATTGTTTCATACGTTCACACTCACTCTCATGTTCTCAACATGCTCTTTCATCGACAATCGCCAGCTTACTTTCAACACTGATTCTGTGCATCACTACTACGGCTACCTCGAATCCAGTTCCAGTTGTAGTAGGATCCTGTTGAGAAATCGTGAATCGGCGAATCAATAACTGTCTGTTAAAGTCCGGTTACTTTCGCCTACACTGACAGATGGACACGATATCAAGTGATGATGACATTTAACAAGGTACTGAAAGCCAATCTAGATGTAAACGCGGGATAGGGTTTGAACCCCAGTGGTGATTGATGAATTGGAATTGTTACAGAAAACTCCAAATCTCCTAAACCGCTTAGTGTAGAAGAATTTATCGGATTGGTTGCAGATTCAGCGTTTTTATGCACAGGTTTATGGGCTGATGATCACTGACTGGTCGGGAAATCTCACCTGAGCGCAAACTGGCATTTAATAAATGGAACGGAAGAAAATGATGCAGTTGAAAATTGACTATTATTATAAATATTACTAGCTTCTCACAATTTTCCGTCTCAATGGAAAGTCAGACTTTTTGCATTTCGTGCACGTATTCATTATACTGACAAATTGATAATGGCCATGAACATTTTGCTGAAGTTTATTTAACAAAAGCAGAAAAAGTTTAGCCCAATATTAAGGAAGGAGACCGCGGTGGTGAGCGAAATTAGTGCAATATTTTTTTC